CGCCATGAACTGGGGAGGGGCAGAGAGAGGATCCCCAGCAGGGAACCTGACGTGGGGCTCAATCTCACAAACCATGATCATGACCTTGAGCCAAAATTAAGAGTTGGATGTTCAACTGAGTCACCCAGGCACCCCTTCCAAATCTCTTAATAATAAAGTCTCACTTGTGAAATCATGAGCTATAAATTTATGCCTCTAAGACAGATTTGTACTTTTTTTGAGACTTGGTATCTTTCCCAGAAGTGATTAATCTTTAAGTTTGACACGATGGTTTTCTTTTTGCCATGACACATAGGCCAGGTCCTCAGCCCATCGTCTCTGATTGGTTAGATTCTAAAACAGCTTGTTCTGGTTGTACCAATGTGATTTTATAACGTGGGTGGTTCAGTATCTCCTACGTATGCCATCAGTTTTATTTCCTCAGATCTTCTCTGTGTGTTTGCTGTTGGGTCAGTGGTGAATATCATGTGCGCTGATGTTAGCCTGCATGTCCGCTTAGCTGGGGGACCTCAGTCAAATCGCTGAACCTCTGCCTTTATTTTGTCATGTGCAAAATGGTGGTAATGATTGTCAATTTCAGGGGTTTACAGACTCTTTCTGTAGAGGGCCAGATAGTAAATACACTTCATGGGGCAAGAATCAAAATCTAGGAAAAGAAACTTCCGTAACTTTTTTATAGACTAAATTCAAAATGTAACCGTAGTAATTGTGTACAGCATTTTATGATGGTGGTCTACTGATGAAAAGAATGGATATCATTTTGCTTGACTGGGGTTCAAAGGTAGCGTTTCTTGTCATCAAAGTAGATTACAAATATGCATCTGGTAAAGCTGGTTAAGTGCCTGAGAGCAAATGAAGTTAACTGTTGATGTTACCAGTAGATTGAGTAGAGTCAGTACTGATGAGAGACACAATTTCCACAAAGGATTTGCCGTATTACGCTTTAGCAGGTTCTAATCCGTGTTCTACTGAATTAGGGTTTTCTCAACTTTGAAAATATTCGTGTTTGCAGTTGTTGGGCTGTTCCACAGACCATGCATACAGGCTAATTCTTCAGTTGCTTCTCAGCTCAGTGCTGAGGCATTGACTCGTGGAAGAAACAGTTGAGCAGAATCAGTAACATCTGTGGATTCATCATGATTCAAGGAAAATTACTTCAAATCATTTTCCTCATTAAAAAAAATTTTTTTTAAGTTTATTGATTTTGAGAGAGAGTGTGCGAGCGGGAGAGGGGCAGAGAGGGAGGGAGGGAGAGAATCCCAAGCAGGCCCCGCGCTGCCAGTGTCAGGCCCGACGTGGGGCTTGATCTCATGATGGTGAGATCCTGACCCAAGCCGAGATCAAAAGTCCGATGTTTAACTGACTGAGCTACCTTGGTGCCCCTCATTTGCCTCATTTTTGTTTGACTGTTGCTGTTGCTTTCAGTGTCTTTAGGTTTTAGAACAACTGTTTTCCAAAACGCCTATAGTCTTACGTTCATTTTCTCTGGACCTGACTTCTTCAGCTGCTGCAATTAAATGCAAGTCATTGTCAGAAAGTGGTTTTCCTGGCTTGGTTAACAAATGAGGCGTTAAGTCATTTAATATGGTTGCTTCATTTTTGTGTTTAGTTTTTTTGAAGAAATTCTGTGGTGTATGGAGAATAGTGCCAGTGACTTAGTGCTTAGGCTGATAATGTTGACCAGCTGAGGTGTCATTGCATCCTAAACAGCCCTTTGCCATCCAGTTGATGATGAAATAATCTACACTGTGCCTTGAAAATGTGACATTCAGCGTCCACTTTTCTTGTTTTGTAATGATGGAGATGCACTGCTACTAGGTTAAGGAAAAAAAAGAATATATAGGGCTGCTTCATATTTAGGACTCTGACTAATCCTAGTGATTTTCCAGAACTCTCCTTGGCTCCCTCCTATCATCCAGGAAGGGCACTGTGTTGACTTTCACTGATGTCCTCTCTTACCTGTTTTCCTAGTACTTTGCACTGTTACGATGCATTCTTTTTATTTAAGTTACTGTGTTTGGGGCACCTGATGACTCAGTTGGCTGAGTGATTCTTGATTTCAGCTGAGGTCATGATCCCAGGGTCACGGGATTGAGCCCCAAGTCAGGCTCCATGCCAGCGTGGAGCCTGCTTAAGATTCTCTGTCTCCCTCTGCCCCTCTCCCCTGCTCATGAACTTGCATTCTCTCTTGAAAATAAAATAAGTAAATAATAGATAGATAGATAGATAGATAGATAGATAGATAGATAAAAATAATAATACAAAACGAGAGGGGCGTTTGGGTGGCTCAGTCGGTTAAGTGTCTGACTTCTGCTCAGGTCATGATCTCACGGTTTGTGAGTTTGAGCCCCGCGTCGGACTCTGTGCTGACAGCTCAAAGCCTGGAGCTTGCTCCGGATTCTGTGTCTCCCTCTCTCTCTGCCCCTCCCCTGCTCGTGCTGTGTCTCTCAAAAACAAATAAATGTCATAAAAAAAAATGAGATACTGTATTTTTCTCATATACTTTCCATGTGGTTCTTTTTTATAGTGTGTGTTTCTCCTCCCATATTTCCTGTTTATCCGTTGGAACCATATTTTCCTTTACATCTTCGAGCATAGTTAGAGTAGCTGCTTTAAAACCTGTGCTGTTTCCAACAACTTAGTCCTGGGAGTCTGTGTGCATTGATTACCTTTCTTCTTAAGTGTGGATCACGTACTTCTGTTCTTATGTCTAATGCTCTTGGATTCATCTTGGAAATTATGAATGATATAGACCATAGATACTAGATTCTGTTATGTTTCTCTGGAGAGTGTTGATTTTTTAATTTATGTATAAAGCAGAGCGTAAACTTTTGTGTCTCTGAGGTAGGCAGCCGCTGAAACTTCTGCTCAGGCTGTTTAACCTTAGCTGGGCTGTTTAGAGTTGGCCTGTATACATATAGTTCAGAGGGTCATCCAGAGATTTTGGTATAGTGTATATATGTCTGTCTGTCTGTCTGTCTGTACATATGTAGAGTTTAGATGTAGAATTTGGTGCTCTCCTCTCTAGCTTTTTTTCCTTCCAGGATTTCCTCCTTTTCCAGCTTTTGTGGTCTCTACCTTAGGGGTCATGGTGTGGATGGTGTGGTCTGCTGGACTTAAGGTAGCAAATCCTAGTTTCAACAAGGTGAGAGAGGGACCCTGAAAGAGAGAAGGAAGCTCTCTTTCTAAGGATACTAGAGAAGCTTCAGTCAATATACACATATGTGCTTGTCGTACGGAAGGTGTGGGCCAAGCTGATTAAATTTTAAAGTGGAAAGATGTATGATTTATGTTTCTGGCCATTCCTAAGGTGTTGTGTGAGCTGGAGCCTTTGAGTTCATCTCTCTGTGGGTCCTGGTGTCCTCAGACCCCAGAGCTGTAGCTCTGGGGTATCTGAAACTTGCCCAAGATGTTTTGATGCACAGAGCACACACATGCACGTTGAACTGTGACCTTATTTGGTACCCCAAGGAGCACAGACCCGATAAGTAAATGAAAAGATGCATATCTTCACTAATAATCAGTGAAGTGTAAATGAAAGCAACCCTGAGGTATCTTTGCCTGTCAGACAGGCAAAGATTTAAAAGATTGATAATGTACACGGCTGGCGACAGGCATTCTTACATTTCTGTTGTGAGTAGAAGTTGGTATGTTTTTGGAATGTCACTTGGCAGGATCAGTATTTTTAAATGCTGAACCTAAGACCCCACAGTTCCACCTCTAGCAATTATTATTATTTTTTTTAGTGTTCATTTATTTTTGAGAGAGAGAGAGAGAATGAACGGGGGAAGGGTAGAGAGAGGGAGACAACAGAATCCAAAGCGAGCTCCAGGCTCTGGGCTGTCAGCACAGAGCCTGATGTGGCGTTTGAACCCACAAACCGTGAGATCATGACCTGAGCTGAAGTCAGACGCTTAACCAACTGAGCCACCCAGGCACCCCTTACCTCTAGCAATGATTTGTATAGAAGTACTCATTCTGATGAGTTAAGGTCCATGCCCAGACTTGTTCACTGCCTTGTTTAAAGTTGCATATGTGCACTGGAAATTAATATAATGGTATATATCTCAAGAAACAAAAAACATATAGGCAGCAATCCACAGGTCCATCAGCAGGATTATTGAGCCATGGCATGTGCTACCCTTAAAGGCATATGAAAGGCTTTTATGTGCTGACCTAGAAGGATGTTGAGAATAGCCAGAGGAACAAAGAGCCTGCAAAGCTCAGCACAGTATGAATTCATTAAAAATGTCCTGGGTGGCTCAGTCGGTTAAGCATCCATTTTGGCTCGGCTCATGATCTCTCATTTCGTGGGTTCGAGTCCCGTGTCGGGCTCTGTGCTGACAGCTCAGAGCCTGGATCCTGCTTCGGATTCTGTGTCTCCCTCTCTCTCTGCCCCTCCCCTGCTCATGCTCTCTCTCTCTCTCTCTCTCTCTCTCTCTCTCTCAAAAATAAATAAACATTGAAAATAAAAAAATCTTTAAAAATGTCCATTTGTTTGAGCTTCAGCTTTGTCTGGAAGGACTTGTGCCTAACGTCTCGCAGAGGCTCCCTCTGGGGTGAAATAAAGGGGAGTCTTGTTCTTACTTTTCTTTTGTATCATTTGTTTTTCTTTAACTGAGAAGATACTAATTTTGTGTTTAACAATCTCTCCAGTGGTGTTTCTTGGGAGGAATGCAGCAGACACCCCACCAATCAAAGGTCGAATCACCAAAGCCTACCTTTGGTGTCATGGGGAAAGAAGGATCATCCCACCTTCTAGTTCCCGGGTTTATGATTAGTGGTAGCAGTTGTCTCTCAACCCCACTTGGGACAGCTGCTCTGATCTGCATCGTGGTTTCAGATGTGGGCGGCCTGTGTCAGCCTGCCGTGGGAGGCTCACGTCACCGCTCACTGCAGTTATATCCTGAATCAGGCAGAGAGACTTCGCTGCAAACGCAGGAGCGGTCACCTCCAGGTCTGGAGGTTGGTGGGGGGGGGGGGGGGCCCTCCGACTTGCCATGGGACCCAGCAGATGCATCTGGGAAGGTGAGTCTGTGATTTGGACGTCTCAACACTCAAGTCAGCATGAGTGGATGGCAGAGAGTGGCAGACAGCAGGCCATCCCTGGGCCCTGGGAGGAGCCTGTGGATGGACTTTGAAGCGGTTGGGAGCATCGCCCTAGTTTTACCTCCTCGGGTGTCCTGGTCTTGGATGTCTCCAAGAGACAGCATGTTGGCAGTATTTGCTGAAGAATGACAGGCTATCACTACCTGGCCTGAGTACCATTGGGCAGAGGGAAGGATCTGAGTTTGTCACGTTGAGTTTTAGGTATGGAAGACTTTGCTTCCTCAATAACTGGGCGAGGGGTGGTTCTGGGGCCAGATGGTCTGAGATTGTGATGGCCATGAGTGGAGATGAAGACCAGGCCCTGCGGCTGGCAAAACCTCTTCAAACCCCCATGCCCTTGGGGGGCCTTCGGGCAGAAGAGAAGCCAGAGTCTTGGGATCGCTCCTTTGGAGCTATGGGTGGCAGCATGTGAGGGTGGGGTTCCAGAAGGAGGATCAACTCTGCCAAGCAGAAGAAGGGGAGATGAGGATTTGTGCTCAAGTAACATCCAGAGTCCTGCTCCCAGGGGCCCAAAGCAGCAACACCATTTCAAGGCAAGGTCAGTGTCTGTAGGGAGATTCGGGATGCATTTCTTACCCTGTTGGGGCTAGGTGCAGGGGGCACAACATAAATCAGACAGTGTCTCACCCTGGAAGAGCCTTGTGTTAAGAGGCAGCTTAGCAGTGAGCTTTGCTGACATGGCCGCAAAGGTGCTATGAGGGAGTTTCTGGGCAGAGGAGGTCAGTTAACACGTGCAGGAAGAGAAGGTGCATCGTTTTGCTCCATTTAACCCCCAGGCCCCCCAAAGAGAACTGTGTCAACACCCTTATTCTGTGCTGCTCCCACAGCACTACCTGCTACCCTGCTTCTGTCATGAGCTGACTGGCTTTGCTTTGTCATGTCTGGTCTGGCCAGAGACACCCTAGGGAGCTTGGGGAGTGCTTCATGAAGGAGGGGGCATGTGATACGGAAGGAAGTCGGGCAGAGGAGACAGTGTGAGGTGGATTAGACCAGCAGGAGACCTAGAGTGAGTTCCATTTAAAAAAAAAAAATATATATATATATAGTCTGGGAGCCTGGATGGCTCAGTTGGTTAAGCATCTGACTGTTGGTTTTATCTCAGGTAATGAACTCACAGTTGATACACGGAGCCCCATGTTGGGGCCTGTACTGGGTGTGGAGTCTGCTCGGGATTCCCTCTCTCGCTCCCTCTCTCTGCCCCTCCCTTGCTCACTCGCATGCTCTCTCGCTCGCTCTCTCTCTCCCCCCTCCCTCCCCCCAAATAAATAAATAAGTAAACTTAAAAAAATAAAAATATAGACTGTTTAAAAGGGGACACTAAGTGGATGCAGTAATCTGCATGAAGCCAACTTGGAGGATGGTCTGCAGGCACCCTCATCTGGCAGGGATTCCTCGGCATCAGGTGAGTGCTCGGGGTGTGAGGGCCAGGGAAGGTGAGGGTCTGAGTCTGTCTGGAAACCTTTCCCCGCAGCATACTTCCTTGTGGCAGTGTGTGAAGTTTCTGATGCAGGAGTCCAGCTATAAGGCAGCCCTTAACTTGGTGGCGGGCCAGGAAACCAGGGCAGGAAATCTGGGAGGCCCTAGTGGTCAGACCTCATGGACTTGACCCTGAGGAGGGTCATGGAGGAGATGTGTCCTGAGAAGGGACCAGAGTGCTTGTGGGCTGAAGGCGGTGGCCGCAGACCTGATGGGGGAGGGGCAGGGCTGGGGGCTGGCGTCAGCCGCGCTCCCTGGCAAGACTGTCGCGAGGGGCAGACACTGGCTTCCCTCCTGCTCTGACAACCATCCTGTGAGATGGTCCGGGGTTGTCTGAGCTGTGATTAGATCTCCCTCGTGTCATCCCAGTGCCTGTTCCAGGACCACGGAGTATGCGGATGGGGGTTTCTACACTGCCTGGCCCAGTTTCTGTTGTCAAGGACGTGGGTAGCCCAGAGGAGACAGAGGCCAGTGGTGCCCAGGCTTTCGTGGCAACTGGCCGGACACATGCTAAGAACAGAGGTGCCAGGTGCCAGCTGTGGGGCGGCACGCCACCCTGCCCAGCTCACTTTGTAGAGACAGAAGCATTCTCTGTGGGAAGAGTTCTCGGAGGAGAAGCAGGGACCATCCCCCCAGGTGGCCCTGCATAGGTCTCCGCTGCTCCCACAGGGTGGGTCCTGGCCCTGGTAGCTCTCAGCTGTCCCTGCTCTGGGGCCTATTGAGCTTGGAGCCACCCCACCCTGTGCTCTTGAACCATCTGGGATGGTCTGGTCCAGCTGGCCCAATTCCGCGTAGACGGAGGGCTCCTTCCACTGGGGCCTGGGTTAGCTCTTCAGCTTGAAGTGGCTGCTGTGCCTCAGGCCCCCCGACCTGATGCTCGCTCTGATCCTGTCACTACACACCCTGACCGTGGGCTGTTGTCCGGCTGCTCCCCCGTCTCCACCCAATCACTGTGCAGGAGGGGACAGACGCTGGGGGGCGGGGGTAAACTCGCTACAGCCTCCCATGCTGTGGCTGGGGCTGCTAGGTGACGCTGCTTGCTAGGAAAGGGTGCAGTCTTCCTGAGCATGGATCTTAACAGGGGTCAGTCCTGTGGGTACGTGGCTAGGCTGCTGGGGTGTTGGGGTGGTGTCTGCCCCCCTGCGTGTGTGCAGGCTCCTTCAAGGTTTACGTGCTGTGGTCTGTGCTGCTTTTTTGCCTCCTTATCACCCATCAGGCTTGCATAACCAGGCTGGCCCTGCTTCCTGCTTAGGAACTATCAGCGCACCATCTGGAGCTACAAATAGGGTGATAGGAAGTCAACAGCCTCCCAGCACCCAGGCACTTGTGAACACCCAGTCCCTTCGTCTCCAGCTTACCCCTGGTCCCCCCAAGGATCCTGTTGCTCAGGCTGGCACTCCTCTCTTGGGGTGCTCTCCTTCGCAGGACCGGCACCTTCTAAACGGGGATGAGGTCGACAGAGCTTAGGGAGTGCAGTTTTGTTGCAGGGACACGCCCCTGCGATCCTCCTACCTAATCCTGGGTCTTTGGGATGGGTCTATGTTTAAGGAGGCAGGATGTGTAGACGTTGGCTGTGTGACCCTGGGCAAGGCATTTCCCCTCCTTGGGACTCAGCTTGCTTGTCTGTGTGTAGGGACGGTCTTTCTACCTCACAGGGCTGCTGTGGGAACTCAAGTGTATGAGGCAAGCTACGCAGTCGGCACAAAGTTACCCTTACCCTGCCTTCCTTGCACGACAGGACCTGGGCCCAGCAACAGGGGGCTGTATTGGCAGAGGATGCCTGTCCCAGAGAAGAAACGTGTAGGCAGACTCAGACACATAGCTGGTTCAGAGTCCAGAACCCACCAGAAGATCTGGGTTGGAGGGCACCATGCTATATGCTGTAGCCACGAATCTTTGGTCTGGCCGATGTATCTTTCTGAGCTTCAGTTTCTTATGGGAGCAGCTCAGGCAGTGGTGTCCAATCCCTGTCATGAGACATGGTGAGGGTATTGGTGGTGACCCACTCAGAGCTGTCAGTGAGGAGCACACTCCATAGGGAGTGGACCTCATGGGGAGCATGCCTCACAGGGGGAGCCCTCACGGTGAGTACCTATCAGGGGGGTTCTCCCCACAGAGAGCAGCCCTCATGGTGAGTGTCCCCAGGGGGGTGCTCTCAGCCCAGTTCCTTGCAGGATGGACCTTGGAGACTGAGGCCCTGATGCGGGAGTTGAGTACCTGGCTCCTGATCTGCACGTGCGTCAGCCCTTGGGTTGGCTTGGGAGTCTCCATCCATGGGGAAGGAGGAGGTGAGGGCTGGGCACTGGTGTCTGTGTGAGGCCAGGGGGTGGAGGGCTTGGGGGGCAGGGCTGTCATCTGTCTCACTCCCCAGGGAAGGCTTTGGCTCGAGCTGTGCTTGGGGCTGTCCTCCAGGGACCACCCTGGACTTCATTCCCACCCATGCACCATGGGTCGGAGCCCATCACCTCCCAGCCCTGCCCTTGATGCATTGTCCTGGGATCATTCTCAGGGGACTGCCCTGTCAGAGTGTCAGCTGCTAGGTACTAATCCTGCCCTGAAGCAGCCGTCGTGAGCTCCCAAACATCACTGTTCCCAGGGCTCGGGGCTGGATCTTTCATCTGCCTCAACAACAACATCCTAAGGATCGACTGCCACTGGTCGGCTGTAGAGCTGGGTCAGGGCCCCAGTCCCTGGCTCCTCTTTACCAGGTGAGGCTGGAGGGCCAGGCCCACCTGGGCAGGGGCCAGGGGCCAGTGGTGAGAATGGGTCCCCATGATAGCAGCAGTAGGGGCTGGGCTGGTGCAGTGGCCCCTTGGTGGCGACATGTACCCTTTCCAGCAACCATGCCGTGGGCAGCAATCACAGATGTGTCTTCCGGGCCAGCGAGTGCACTCTGGTGCTGCCGCCTGAGGAGGTGCTTGTGCCTTCTGACAACTTCACCATCACTTTCCACCGTTACGTCTCTGGGAAGGAGCAGGTCAGCCTGGTGGACCCACAGTACCTGCCCCGGAGACATGGTGAGGCCTGGGTAGGGTGCTTTGGTGGGGAACATCCTGGCTTCATGGGGGTTGGGGGCAGGGTCCCATTGCCCTTAACCTCCACGGCTCAGCGGGTGCTCTCTGTCCCTGCTAAGAGACACCCAGGGCTATGAGCGAGCAGGGCCCCTGGGAGGGAGGGGCCCACTGGTTAGTGGAGAGGTAGGGTTCAGGAGGAGGACGAAGACTCAGGGCCGTAAGTCGGGGCAAGGGTACAACTTGAGTCACTTGAAATACACTTCAGTCACAGTAGGAAGAAGTCCAGTAAGACCCTGGGAAGCTTATGGCTGCAGGGGCCGTAGGAACTCACTGTCATCTCGTCCCACCTGAGGCCTACTGGGAGACAGCAGCAGGGAGGAGACGGAGACCTGCCTCCCAGTGAGGCCCCTTGTCTGGAAGGGCCTTGACCATTCCCTGCCCCCAGCCTTTTTCGGACCCCCGGTGCTGGGCACGCTGACACGCACACCCTCACGTGGCCTCATTCTGTTTCAGTGAAGCTGGACCCTCCCTCTGATTTGCAGAGCAATGTCAGCTCTGACTACTGTGTCCTGACCTGGAGCGTCAGTCCTGCTTTGGAGCCTCTGATCTCCATGCTCAGCTATGAGCTGGCCTTCAAGAGGCAGGGGGAGACCTGGGAGGTAACGCTGGGCTGACTACTCCAGGGGCCTCTCTCTTCTGGGAGCAGCAGCCAAGGGCCACTCGGGAGATGCCAACTTGGAATAATGAGGAGGGGAGGTGGCCAGAGTCAGGAGTGTGACTGTGCACGTGTGCATTTGTATGTGAGTGTACCTGTGTGTACGTGAATATGTGTCTTTATATGTGTGATGAGCACCGGGTATGCCTATATATATGAGTGTGAGTGTAGTGAGCGTGTTTGTGTGTGCAAGCGCACATGGGGGTAGATGAGTGTCAGTGTGTGTACGTGTGCCTGCGTGTGTGCCTGTGTGTGTGGTTGTGTGTGTGCATGTGTGTTCTTGAGGACTGATGGACCCTGTCACCCTCAGCAAATGATAACTGTTCTCTACCCCACAGCAGGCCCAGCACAGGGATCACATTTTTGGGGTGACCTGGCTCAGGCTCGAAGCCATCGAGTTGGACCCTGGTTCCAGCTACGAGGCCAGGCTGCGCGTCCAGATGGCCTCGCCGGAGGATGACCTGGCGGAGGAACAGCACTATGCGGGCCAGTGGAGTGACTGGAGCCAGCCTGTGTGCTTTCCCTCTCCCCAGACCTCTGCCCGAGGTGGGGGTCTCCCTCCCAGAGCGCCTCCCTTCCTATGTTTGTCACACCCTCCCACCTTTTCACCCCCCTGGAACTTCCTCCCTGAGGCAGTTATACCCCGGTTGACCACCTTCCCCTGGAAATCTGAGATTTTTAACTTGCCAAGCATTGGGCTTCTTGGAAACTATAGTTACTGTCTGTCACTGGGAGTGAGTGTGGCCCACCAGGCCTATGCTTCTGGCTCTGGAGGCTGGACATGGTCTCATCTCCCTAGGAAGGGCTGGGCTGACCTTTGTAACCTGCTAGGAAGGGTGGCTGACACTGATGACCTTGCAGATGGAGGAGGTGAGACCCAGGGGTAGGTGATTCGTTAGCAGGCATGACGCAAACCTCTGTGGCCTATGAGAAAATTTCCACCGTGGCCCGGGGCGCTCCCAGGGGTGCTTTGCCATGTGGACTGGGAAGGACATCCTGGTGCCAAGGAGGCTCACGACCCTGGGCCCTTCCTACCCACAGGCCCCCTGTTATCACCTCGGGGGCAGCCTGACGGCACCGTTGTCGCTGTACCTGTCTTTCTGCTACTGACCAGCCTGACCTGCCTCCTGTTCAAGCTTTCACCCAGGTCGGTAGCCAAGGTGTGTGTGTGTGTGTGTGTGTGTGTGTGTGTGTGTGTGTGTGTGCGCGCGCGCACGCGTGTGTGCGTGAATGTGTTCATGTGACTCTGGGTGAGTTTCCGTGTGCATGTCAATGTGTGTGCATGTGAGTCAGTATGTCTGTGTGTAGGTGTGTGGTAGGTGGGGCATCTCGGGCCAAACCTCTGGCCCTGGATGGGGTGGGGGGTTTTTAACCCTCTGCCCTGGACCTGTGGGGGAGTTCCTCAGTTGCCAGGTGAGGAAGCGGGTGTTTGGTGGGGCTGTGAAGGCCAGGCTCGACCTGGGAGCATAAGAAAATGCCTGAAGTGTGTGAAACTGTGTGCGACAAGATCTGGTTTATATTTTGAGAATACATTTTGGGGGTACGAGGATATGGAGAGGACCTGCTGGGAGGCCAGTGGTGGTGTCTGGAAGGAGGAGAGAGAAGCAGAGGGGGAGCAAAGTGGAGGAAATTGCCAGGTCTTAGGAAGAGAAACCTAGGGGTCAGATGAGGTGGGACTGGGGACTCTTGAGGTGGGGAGCTGGAGAGGCCACTTCCTCCCCTGGGAGGCTGGTGAGGCTGCTGGGGACCTGTTGTGTTGGAGCCCTGTGCCACATCCTCGTGGCAGGGCCAGTGGGTCTGTTGCTCAGTGAGGAGTCAGGTGGGGTAGGAAGCTGCCCCCTGTCTGCCAGGAGCACAAGTGTGGTTCCCGAAGGTGCCAGCTCCCTCTGTGGGCTGTGGACACAAGCGGTCACCTTGTAGCCCTGAACCCACCATGACAGCTCACCCTGTAAAGGACACGTGTCTTGGTATAAGTCAGTTCTATGGGGCCCTTAGCCAGGGAGGCCACAGGGGCAAGTGTCGGGTCTTGGAGCCAACAAGAGGTAAGAATGGCAGCAGCCCAGGTGAAGCAGGGCCACCTCTGGCTGGAAGGGAGCAATGCTCCTGCGGGGACATCATGCCTCCTGGAGCTGGGCCTCCAAGGGCCCCTCCTTGGGTGTGCATAGGCCTCCAGGTGTCCTCTCTTGGCCCCAGGGTGAAGAGAAGCTTCTACCAGAACGTGCCGTCTCCAGTGGCCTTCTTCCAGTCCCTGTACAGTGTGCACAATGGGGACTTCCAGGTGCGTGCACAGCTCACGGCAGGGGTTGAGGGAGAGTCTGGGCTTGCCTACATTCTGACCCGACAAAGATGTGGACTTCTGGTGAGAGTTGGGGGCTAGCATGGGGGCCTTTGTCAGTGCTTTGAGCTTTTTTTGGTGTATGTAGTCGGTTTACATTTACACGCTGTGTCTCAAATGCATCAGAACAATTAGCTGTATTCTCTGTTGTGGGTTTCTTTTCATTTCTGAGTAGCAGCCCCTGTGAGGTGTATGGTCAGTTTAAGGTGCAAACAATGGTGCTGTCTGCAGCTGCCACATGTCTCGTCCCCGCTTCTTCTCTGAAGGTTTCTGCGGGGAGGATCTGGTGCTTATACTATCCCTGGGGCCTTCGGTGGTCTATGGGCTACTGCTCTGGTGGCCACTGTGGAGTGCCTGGCCTCTCCTGTTCCCCTGGGTAGCATGCTGGCACCATGAGCACTGAGTACACTCCACACGTGTCTCTTTGTGGTGCCACGGTGAGTACCACCTGGAGGGTCGCATCAGACACCTCCCCCTCCCCCCCAGCCCCCCACTGGCCTGGAGGCTCCTGCCCCTCGCTGGGCAGGAGGGGGGCAGGGAGCGGCCCCAGCAGGTGGTCTCAGGTTCCCCACTGTGGGTGGTGGATGGGAGGTGATGCTTCCTGGTGCCCTCGGACCTGCTCTTTCCTGATGCCCTTGCCGTTGCCGGGTTTCCCTCTGCCTAGTCCTTGTGTTTCTCAAAAGGGAGCCCAGAAAATTAAAAAAAAAAATTAAAGAGGGAGCCCAGTTCTCAAGATTGTTGCCCAAAAGTATAACTCAAAGCTTAAAGCTGAGCATTTTGTCCTTGGTGGAGGCCACCCCCTTTTCTCAGGCAGTGGCCATCACTGTCAAGACCCCTGGGGTGTCTGGGCATGAAGGCAGATTCCATCACCCTGGAATGTATCTTCTGGGTCGCGGGCACCCAGCCCTCCTCTGTAGACCCATGTCACCAGCCAGGGTATTTAGACCCCTCCAGTGGTGATATGGAGCCATGGGTCGGCTGTCCAGGGAGCAGGGCAGTAACAGAGGGTGAGGTATGTGTGGTCCATTTGGTGGTGATTCCTAGTCCCACATAGGAAATACTTTCCTGTAGGAGGTGGGGGCCTCCTGTGGCTCCACGGATGGGTCCAGGTCTGCTGCCCTTAGCCCAAAGGTGCTGGTTCCAACAGCATCTCAGTGTGTGTGTGATGGGGGTTCAAGAGGGGGTGCCCAGTCTCTGTAGCTGATGGAAGTGCCTAGAGCAGCGGTCAGGGATTCTCTCTGTCCTCGACACCTGTCACCAGCACGGATTACTGAGGGTCCTGAAGAGACTCAGGGTCCTGTGCTGAGGCTGGGCTGGCACATGGAGGGTGAGACAACATGTTCCAAGCACAGTCGTTGCTTGGACTCTGGGTGAGGATGTCTGGAGAGCTTCTTGGAGGAGCAGGGGAAGCTCCTTCCAGGGAGAGTCCTGAACATGCTGCCTGAGCCCTTCCCCCCACCCCCCATGCTCTGTTCTAGACCTGGATAGGGGCCCACAGAACCGGTCTGCTGCCGAGCCAGGACTGTGTTGGTTCCCCGAGAAGAGCCTCGGAGTCTAGTGTCCAGGAGGCCATTGCGTGGCTGACCTATGGCCCAGTGGATCCTGCCTGGCAGTCAGTGGTCCTGGAGGAAGAGGAGAAAGGCCCACGTCCTGGCCTCCCAGAGGCTGTGTTGTTAGCAGGTCGTGTGGCACAGGGAGAGCAGCCACCTGCCTACCTGCCACAGGAGGACTGGGTCCCTGGGAGCCCCACCAGGCCAGCTCTCCCACAGGCAGAGGGCAGCAGTGGTGACTACTGTGCCTTGGGCTGTCCCGGGGCGTGCCACCCCTCGACCTTCCCAGGACGCATGCAGAGCTCTGGGCCCAGCCTGGCTTTGGCCTGTGGCCTTTCCCGTGACCAGCAGAGCCTGGATGCCACGCAAGGAGGGACCTGTGTGGGAGTTGCTCACAGAGAGGAGCAAGACCCTGGTGAATGTGTCGCATGAGGCCCTCAGGGCACTTTCTTCGCTCCTACCCTTGGCAGACGCTGGCTTTGATTTAGAACCCTGACGGGGCCAGCTGCACAATGTCCATCATGTGGAAAATGGACTACAGTCTCTGAGAATGAAGCCCCTGCACAGATACCCTGTCCAGATGGAGGCCGATAACCCCTCCTCTCTCCCCTCCCCTCAGCATCCTACCACGCAGCTCCCACTCCCGGGCTCGCCACTTCCCTCCCTGCTTTCGGGCTCCACCCTGGTCCCTCACAGAAGTGGGGGTGTTGGCTCCACAGCCTGTTCTGCCCTCACTCCCTTAAAGGGCCAGCCGGCACCCAACAGACACAGATGAGGTGCTGTGACCGGGCGGAGTGTTGTCTTTCTGTGCCTCCCTGAGGTATCTCTGCTACTGAGATTAAAAGGGATTCAGTGGTTGTTTCAAACTGCTGCTGACTGGGAGAGGGGCCCACAGGAAGTGCAGGGGGTGGGGGTCTGTCTATTCTCGGGTTTTCTGGGGTTGGAGATGCTGACATTTTGAAGTTAGCATCCAAATGGAGACCTGTCCCTCTCGGGGTGACCAGAGAGGGCACCTCTGCATGAGTCTCTGGTGTCCCCTGAGGCCTGTACAGAAAAAAAAACAACAAAAAAAAAAAAAACCAAAAAAAACCACACTTGTGGACCCAGGCTCCCAAAGGCAAAGGCTTCCTCTGCCTCAGACAGGCATCCCCCTCCCCTCTGCGTGCCTGCGGAGGCCCCTGGGGTTTTGTGGGGAGCCTCAGCTGAGCCAGATCATGGTCAGAAGGGGTGAGGCAGGACCCAGAATGTATTTTTAGCGTGTAGAGAGAGGAGGGGTGTGGACGGAAGTGAGGTGTAGGCATGTTCAGCTCTAACCAAGGATAGAAAAAATAGCATGAGTCACCCGCCCCTTGGGGAGCCCTGGCCTGGGGTATTATTATAGCAGCATCTGCGTGGCTTCTGTGGCTTCACAGGGAACCTGGGCCACCTGCATATGACGAGTGACCCCCACAGCGGGGATGCCTCTTGTGCGTGGCCGGAGACATTGTTCCTGTGAGTCACACATCTTCTCTCGGTGGCGCCCGGAGACCTGGCTTTGGGAGTGTGCAGCCTTAGAGGCTGTGTGATGGTACGTGAGACACTCCTGCCCCTTCAGCCTGTGGGACTAACAGTACCTCATAAGTGTTGCTGTGACTTCACCTGAGCAAGCTGCCTGCGTATCTTGGTGCCCAGAAAACGCGTTTCCCTTTTTTGTGATGAGATGACCCTTGGACGCTTGTGCTGTGATCCGGTTTCCAGCAGAGCAAGGTTTGAAGACCTTGGGATGAGGAAGTCGCCGAGCGCTGGGCCACTGAAGGAGTCAGAGAGCAGGCAGCTGGCAACTGGAGCCCTCACAGAGCTGGTGGTTTGAGGGATTGGCCGCACGGCATGGGCTGGAGCTCAGATGTCCAAAATTTGGCCGGCTGGGCTGCAGAGGGTCTGGAAAGCCAGGCTGAGAGCAGTGAGGGGAGGGGACTCTCCCTGGCGAGGGAGGATGCACAGTGGCTTCTCTCTCTCTCTTTCTTTCTTTCTTTCTTTCTTTCTTTCTTTCTTTCTCTCTCTTTCTCTCTCTCTTTCTTCTCTCTCTGTTTCTTTGTTTCTTTGTTTCTTTGTTTCTTTCTTTCTTTCTTTCTTTCTTTCTTTCTTTCTTTCTTTCTAAAAGATTTTTTATTTTTAAGTAATCTCTGCACCCAATGTAGGGCTAGAACCCATAACTCCAAGATCAAGATTCACATGCTCCAGAGACTGAGCCAGCCAGGTGGTCCTCTTTCTTTAATTTTCAATGTGGTGAAATTCACATAATCTAAACATAACTCTTCTAAAGTGTTCAATTCAGTGACAGTTAGTACACGCGTAATATTGTGCAACTGTCATCACTCTCGAAGGAAATCCCCTTCCCATTAAGCGGTCCCCCCGCACCCCCCACACTGTGCCCTGTGCCGCTCTTTGCCTGCTTCCCGTCTCTGTGGCTTTGCCTATTCTGGACACTTTGTATAAATACAGTCATATAATATGTGACTTTCTGCACAGCCTTTTCCCTCAGCGTAGTGTTTCTGAGGTTTATCCACTTTAGAGAATGGGCACCTCAGTCCTTATTGTGGCCAAATATTACTCCATTGTGTGGGTAGACCACATGTAGTTCATTCATCCTTCTGGAGGGCATTTGGGTTGTTTCCACTCTTTCACTGTCGTGAACAGTACCGCTGTGAACACCCGTGTACAAGTTTTTGTTCCTATACCCGTTGCCTAGGTTTTTGTGTATATTTCTTGGAGTGGCATTGCTAGATCGTGTTAACTATGTTTAGACTTTTTGAGGAACCACTGAACTGTTCTCCACAGTGACTTCAACATTTTACATCGGTAATGTACTCCGGTTCCAATTTCTACGTATCCTCACCAACTATTGGTAGTGTCCTTTTTTTTTTTTAAGTCGCTCTTCTGATGGGTACAAAGTGGTACCTCTGCGTGATTTTGACTTGCATTTCCCTGATGGCTGGTGATGTTGAGTATCTTTTCATGTGCTGCTTGTGTATTTTCTTTGGAGACAAACTTGTTCAAGTCCTTCGCCTATTTTCTAATCGGGTTGCTTGTCCCTGTGCTGTTGTAGGAGCTCTTTCTTTATTCTGGACACTAAACTCATATCAGATATTCAATTTGCAAATATTTTCTTACATGCTGCATGTTATTTGGTGTCATACACAATAGATTATTGCCTAATCCAACCCCAATAAACACATAAAATTATGCTGAACATCTTTAGACATCAGAAAAACGAAAATGAAAACCACACTGAGTTGCCACTTCACACCCATTAGAATGGCTGTTATCTAAAAACTGGAAGCTAGTTTCGGTGAGGATGTGAAGAAGTGAGAACTGTCGTGCATTGCCGATGGAAATGAAAAATGATAGTGGTGATGGTTATACACCATTATGAATATTCATTTAAAAATGGTGAAAATGGGCCACCTGGGTGATTCAGTCGGTTAAATACCTGACTCTTAATTTCGGCTCAGATCATGGCACTGGGCAGAGAGCCCGCTTGGGGCTCTCTCTCTTTCTCTCTCCCTCTGCCCATCTCCCTCACTCCCCCACACTCTCCCTCTCAAGATGAATAAAGAAACATTAAAAAAGTGGTGAAGGGCTCCTGTATGGCTCAGTCAGTTGAGCGTCTGACTCTTGATTTCTGCTCAGGTCCTGATCCCAGAGTCAAGCCCAGAGATCGAGCCCTGTGTTGGGCTCCGAGCTTCGTGTGGAGCCTGCTTGGGATTCTCTCTCTCTCTCTCTCTCTCTCTCTCTCTCTCTCTCTTCCTCTGCCCCTCTCCCCCACTCACACACTCTCTCTAAAATAGAAAGAAATAAGAAAAATAAATTAAAAATGGTGAAAGTGGTAAATTTTATGTCATGTATATTTTACTATGTTTAAAAATAAAAAGTAATGAAAGAAAATTTTATGTTATTTTTGTTATCACACCCTCAAAGAAATTTCCCTAAGAACTGGTCCTGAAATAGTGACACTTGTGATGGAGGAAGACCTTTGTCCCCTGGAGCGAGAAGGACTTTCCTTATGGACACTGCTACTTCAGACCAGATTTGCTCACACGCACCAAGCAGATCTCGCCAAGCAGAGGCGAACACTCCCACCTGGCCCTTCAGCACCTCTTTTCATCAACCCATTCTCCTGGTCAACTTGCCCCCAAAAGACGCTCAATCACTGTTGTCTACTATGTCTGTAATTTTTCCTTTCCCACATGTCATACAAGTGGGATCGTAGAGTGTGTCGTTTAGTCAGATTGTCTTCTGTTCCTCAGTAGCATGCATGTAAGCCTCATCCTTGTCTTCGCCTTGCTCGATAGATCATTCCTTTCTGTTGATGACTAATATTCCATTGCATGCATGCATCTCTCTTGGTTATTCACTCACCTATTGAAAGGTATCCTGTATCCTGTTTTGTTAAAATATTTGGCCCTTTTGAAGAAAGATGCTGTACATAACTGCAGGCTGGTTTTTGCTTGAACATGTTTTCAGAGCACTTGTCCAGATACCCATGAATGTGACTATCGGCTTATATGGTGAGACTATGTTTAGTTTGGGAAATAACCGCCAAAGTGTCTTCCAAAATGGCTGTACCAGTATGCATTCCATCAGCAACGAATTCAAGTTCCTGTTGCTATCGCTATTAGTTTTTCTTAAGACCTTAGCCTCTTCTTTTTTTATTTTTTAAGTTTATTTATTTTGAGAGATTTAGAGAGCACGAGCAGGGGAGGGGCAGAGAGGGTGAGAACCAAGCAGGGTCTGCACTGTCAGAGTGGAGCCCAACGTGGGACTCGAACTCACGAACCTCGAGACCATGACCTGAGCCAAAACCAAGAGGCCGACGCTTAACCGACTGAGACACCCGGGTGCCCCAAAACTTTAGGCACTTCTATAGATATGCAGTGCTTGTTGTTTTAACTTGCTTTTCCCTCATGACAAGTAATGTTGAGCAACATTCTGTATGCTTATTTTTCATCTGTGCATCCTTTAAAAAATTTTTATTATTGCTTTTATTTGAGACAGAGAGAAAGAGAGAGGTAGTGTGCAAGAGGTGAGGGGGAGAGGAGCAAAGGGAGAGGGAGAGAAGGAATCTTAAGCAGGCTACATGCATAGTGTGGAGCCCAAGGCAGGGCTCCATCCCACAACCCTGAGATCATGACATGAGCTGAAATTAAGAGTTGGACGCTCAACCAACTGAGCGTCCCTCATCTGTATATCTTGTTTGCTTTGGTGTGTTTAGATCTTTACTCATATTTATGGGTTGTTGGTCATTTTTCAATTTTGGAGTTTCTTTGTATATTTTGCATAAACGTCCTTTTTTAGATGTGTTTTCCAAACATTTTCTCCCCATCTGTGGCTTTTCTTTTTGTTCTCTTTAGTGGATCTTTCACAGAGCAGATAGTTTACATTTTACTATGGTA